ATCGAAGGGCGGAGATGGGACGAGCAGGTTTTGGCCATGTGGAGGAATCGGTGAGCTAGGTTTTTGTGGAACGCCATTTCTATCTATGGAGAAAAAATAGAGCTTTTTTTTTCCCTCCCTCTTCCTTTTTCCGTCTGATTAGGGTTTCAATCTATCGAAGTTTCCTCGTTTTTCGTTGAGAAATATGAGGAAGACGACGACGGGGGAATAGTATTTATAGGTGGTGGCAATAACAAAGACACGAGATATTCCGGCGATATAAAGACGATATATTACGTGGCAATGAGATGTTAAAAACTTCGAACGATATGTTAGCATATCCTTTGTGATACGGTAAGCTTACCGCCCAGGCAACAGATTAAATTAACTATTATCATTTGGTTCATGCACTTTAAAATTTTCCCTAATCTTTAAGATAAAGAAAAATTCTTCAATGACCCAAAATATGGGACCAATAGAGGGGACACGTGAGGTGTCCTCTTCCTATTGGATAATGAGTTGGCCATCCTTAATGATGGCCAACTCATTATCCAATAGGATGAGGACACCTCACTTGTCCCCTTTATTGGTCCCATATTTTGGGTCCCTGTAGCAAAGCTCTAAGATAAATTCTCTGGACCCCTCGAAATTGATAACCGTACAGGGAAGAAAAATACATAAATACCATTTATATTTTTTTTCTTAATTTTATAATTAGACTATAACAGTAATATATTAGACAGCTCAACAATACTTACCGTAATTTATAACTTAAAATAGTTATATTTGACTGTTTCCAATGCTTAGCCTAATCCTTGTTAGTCCGGTGAAAAAAAGAAAGCTGGAGTCAGCGAGGTGAAAGATCTTTTTGATTCACGTGTCGGTAACTATAACGTAATATTTCGAGCGCCAAAAAAATCGGAAAACGCCGAGAACTCGGAGTGTCTAGCTGGCAACCAGCCGTCGTACGCTGACACACAAAGCAACAGAAATCGACGTGACGACACGCGCGAAAAAATCGGCAAGCAAGGGACCCCGATACGATACGAACGATAATCGTTTAAAGTAACGGCTAGTAATGGTCCCCCTCGTTATGCTTCTTCTATTTTAGTGGGACTTGTGTGGACCGTAGATTTTGGGTCCAAATTGAGGGGGGTGAACATTTAATGACCCCATAAAGTTGGCATAAATTGAGCTCACAAATGAAAAATTAAAGGTGTCATTAAGCTCCTCAAAGTTGTAAACCATTAAAAAAATAATTTAAGTTGTATGGATTAATATCACATAACACCCCTTAAGTTTGGAGTATTTACACACAACTTCCCTGTACTTTTTTTTTTATCTAAAATGCCCTAGAGCAAAAAAAAATCTCAAATTTTGTGTTATTTCATTACAGACAAGCCCCCCCCTCAAAAAAAATAAATAAATAAAGGGCTTTTCTCTTTGAGAAACTTTATTTATTTGCAAACTCCATGTAGGGGTTCCGATGATAGAAATTTCATGAGACATCCAAACATTCAAGAGCGTTATAATTTATGTGAGATGAACAAAGTTAAGCAGTTTACTGAGAAGATGTCCAAAGTTGGGAGGGGGTCCAAAGTTCTACTTACATCCCAATTTTCAAAGAACCCCTCAAATTAGACATTATATTCATAAATCCCGTGGAATTTTTTACAATAGTCTCAGAAAGCCCTACGAACTTTTGTTAAAATTTTAGAAACCCCTTTTGCGCCATTAGGGGGAATGTTGAAAAAACTTCGAAACGTTATAAGGTTTCGTGTGGGTTAAGTGACAATTCTAAAATGTTTGCTGGTGATTTCAAATTTTGGCTATTGGGGGGATTGGCGGACTTTACCCAAATTTTAAGGCGTTGGGCTTTACGTTGCGTGCGGTACCATCGTTGCGCACGCGTGAGGCTAGGAGCACGTTTAGGTTGGACTCGGGTTTTAGGTTTGGGTTCGGGTCTGGGGACGGTCGGTACTAATTAATTGGAGCGGCGACAAGTTTGCCACGTGGAACCGAGTAGGCCGGGATCGGTTGTTAAAACTGGCGGTGGGCCACGTGAACTTAATCAAGTGGGATGAGCATCAACGTGTGAGACAAGCCAGAAGTTCCTGCTTTTCTACTAGAAGTATGTGAGTATAAGGGTCCGTTTGGTTGGTTTCGGAGGAGCTCATCTGTGGGCCTGTGGCAGCTTTCAGGCTCTTTCCCACTCAAAAATAGAAAACCAAACGGACCCTAAGATAAATGTAAAAGTTACGAATGCGTAAATATTTTTACTTACACGGTTACACTGAACGAAGGACTGGATCTTTTGAGTATCAATTCCAAAATTGGAAATTTTTATAGCTTATTGAGAATGCGCATGTCTAATTTATTTGGATTTTAAAGGAGCCAAATCATATATTAGGTTTTGTTTGACAATTTTTATAAAACTAAGTGAGCATCGGTCCTATCTCAAATTTATGTTAAATTGGTTCTATTTTGAAACGTGGCAAAATAGAATCGGTTTAGTAGAGCATGCTTTTGCCCTCCCAAAGTGGTCCAGTTTATCCCAATTAGGATTCTCCTCAAAATTAGACCAATTTTGAGGAGTGTGTCAAATAGACCCTTTAGTTTATTAGTTTAAAGCAAATATTTTCCTTTGACCCTGATCATCTAGAAGGATTTGTCCAAAAACTGAATCCAAATCAAAACAGAAGCAATTTAACTCAAAACTAACCAAATGGATCATAGATACATGCATGTATTGAGTTTAAATCAACCAAGTCAATCAAAATAGTCTATCATCTAGCGATAATTATTAATCATTTCAAATTTAATATTTATCATATTCTTGTCACTATTCTTCACCCAAGTAAAATGGGTTCTTTAAAACTTTTTGGGAGTATGTTGATGCTTCGTGTATTCCTTTAGAAGATTGTGAATTTAATTCTGGTGTATAGCACATAAACAAAAATTATATTTGGCTATCACACTTCCAAGTCAATGATAAATATCTAAAAATGTTCGAGAAAGGTTATGACGATCTATGCGCATGGAGCAATTCATCACAAATACAAATAACACCATACCGATAAAGTAAAAAGTCGGATTATATATTTTTGCTACTTGGCAAATTCTCAAAATTTTGATAATTAACAAATAAGAACTTTTTACCGCTGTTGGGGAGACTTGGATTTTTCCAAGTGAATTTTTAGGCAAGTTGAGCTAAACTTTTTGGTGGGTCCCACTATCCGAAATGGATGGGAGTGAGTTTGAATGCATTCTTCATTCAAAGGCAATGAATCTGGTATACTCACTTGTCCAAATCGGTTTCCGAATGAATGAGATATATGAATCTGGTATACTCACTTGTCCAAATCGGTTTCCGAATGAATGAGATATTCAAGTCGGAAGATGGACAAAAACTAAAGTTTAATGGTTGTCCAAATCGGTTTCCGAATGAATGAGATATTCAAGTCGGAAGATGGACAAAAACTAAAGTTTAATGGCCGCATCTAATCACGAAAAGTCGCAACTGTTCAGTTGAGTTGTGTTTGTTCAAACCCGAATAGTACTTCTTTTTATTCCAAATGGGTGCGTCCTTTGGTGAAGGGATGTCTTCAAAAGACACATAGTCCCTATAAAAGGAACCTAAAATCTCATTCCCAAAACACTCAACATTGAATCAAGTCTAGTGTGTTTAAGAGAGATCTGAATTTTGTGTTCGTTCTTCTTCCATTCGTTTTTCTTTCCGGTCAAGTGGTGGAAGGCACTGTTAGCTTTGGTTCGCTAGTACAGCTTTGCAGAAGTGTTTCTCCGAAGCTGTGAAGGAGTCTTGTATCTTGGGAGACAGCGTCCGGTCATCCTGTAGCAGGGGGCGTAATTTTTCTTAAGGCGATTCGTCACTTGACGTACCTCACTCCAGCAATTCTAGTTCTTTCTCTCTCCCACAAAAGTGTTTCTTCTAAAAGTGTTTTTCCTAACAGGTTTTTCAGGAATATTTTATTCAATTTGATTTCGGTTATTGATTTAATATTGAAATATATTACTATGACTCTAACAATCTTAAGACAAATTATATATATATTATATATATACTATATATATATATATATATATATATATAATTATATATATATAGTAGAGGAGAGAGAGAGAGAGAGAGAGAAGCAAGACTCCTATTAACTTAAGTTGATGTCCACCAAATTTCTAACCAACACATATATAATAAAACAGCAACCATTGCGCTTTTTATATAATACAATGGATCCCTAGGCATGATGAGTGGTTTAAAACTTTGGTGGACACACTATTTTGCTATCCCTACTAAGTTGATAGGAGTTTTCACCACCTTATATATAAATATATATATATAATATATATAAATACTATTATATATATATAATATATACTATATATATATAATATATTATATATATATAATATATAATATGATATATAGAAATATATATATATATAGAATTATATATATTACTATTACTTATGACTCTGATCTAACAATCTTTAAGACCGAGAAAGACCAGGTGAGTGCCCGAATTATAATATATTAAATTAATATAAATTTAATATCATTATATATATATCAATTTATTATATATATAAAAATATTATAGTATATAAGATATCAGAAAAATCGTTATTATATATATACCACATATGGTTGTTGTTTAGTTTTAAGAACTGGAGACGAGTCAGGTAGATTAACGATTAAGTCTCAACACGTTGGCAGTGGATCGAAAAAATAATATAATCAGGGAATGATTAATGATATCATTTTAGGTTTCACTGTCCGTTCAGATGGGAGCCTAGGGTGTCCCCTTTAGATTCACCGCTTTTTTCTCTTTTTCCCTTTCTTATAGAATATAATATAACCTTACTACTAATCAATATATATACATATATATATATATATATAATATCCTTATAACTTATTTATTTGAATAATTATAATAATTTTATTATATGAAAGATTATATGTGAACTATGGGGTCTT